CATCCAGTGAGAGGCAGGAGACCTGATACAGGCACCAGGAGAATCCTGCCATGGACATATGTAGTCCATCATAGGAACCCAACAGACAGCCTAGCACAAGGCTTTGCTATCTAGACCATGTTTTCTTCTTTGTTTGCTCTTTGCCATCAATATGCTTCACTGAACTTACTGTTTGTGCCGGGCAACTGATTTGTATCATCTGATCATTCTTTTCCTGGTTCTTTAATAAATCTTAACTCTGTTTCCTCAAAAATCAGACTGTGTGTTTTTAAGGGTGGTGAAAGGTTGGAGGCTCACAAGAGGTCTCACCAGATTTTGGAGACATGCTATGCTATTTCAACACCCAGCCTGTACTCAACATGCTGAGAGCAACCTGCAACCTAGCTGTGCTCCCCTAAGGGCACAGGTTGGATGCAAAGAAGCTCATTACCAAGGACCCCAGTGGGATCCTTGGCCAGCCATTCCCAAGGGACCAAAAGCAGGAAGTCTGGGCTTGTGTTGCTCTTGGTGGTGGCAGCTGATACCAGTCAGCCCTGCTGCATCAGACCCTGTGCCCTCAGGCAGAGTTGCCTGCAAAAGGTTTACTTCACTTTACTGCCTGATTAGCCAAAAAGCTTTAGAGCACAAACAACAACACCTTCTTCCAGGTATTCAGATGCATTTTTAAGACTCTGCCAAACATAAAAGGAAAAAAACAACAACAAGGAAATCAGGCAAAAACTTTCAATAGATCTTATGGAAACAGATACAGTCAGACATAGTTTCCAGTATCACACTTCCCAAAGATCTGCCTAATTAACATTCATTTCTTTCCACAGAAGTTACCTCAGCACACACACAAAACTTTGTTTTCTCTAGATTTCAGAATTACCTTTCTACACTTAAATAAAACTGAACTGTGTTAAAAAACAAACAGACCAAAGCCACACAAGTTAAAATGTTTTTCAATGTCCAATCTTTAAACTAGCTTTAAAACCATAATATTTTTCTCCGTGTTTTATATCCTTTTGGAATCCAGCCAAACAATACTTTCTTCCATCTCTGCTCAGCAAAACCATTATGTTGATTGAACTGAAGCCAGCATGTGCACTCATGACTAATCTTGCCAAAAACCTTATTCAAAAAGGAACAAAATTGCATTTGTGATGCTACAGATAAGGCAAGAGCTTTGATTATAGGAGTTGGCCTTTTTAAAGATTTAGATAGGCCTGTTTCTAGATGCAATATATTCTACAAATAAGATAAAATACTTGTCTTGCCAGGAAATTTGAGGAAGAAGGGTAAATTCCACTGTCAGATCTGAATTTCATGCAGCCATCCCCAACAAAGTATCCTTCAGAAGTTTTGCACTCCAGTTCCCTCACCCCAGCTAGCATGTCCACTAGTCAGAAATGCTGGTAGTTGTAGTCCGAAACATTTGGAGGGAAACAGGTCAGGAAAGGCTGGTTGAAAGGAAAATTCTTCATTTCAGTCCCTTCAGTCATCCATTTCATTATCACAACTGGTCAATAGAATTTTAGAATTACTGTAGGCAGAACACTCTGTTTTGTTTACAAAGGACTTGCTCAATCTCATGCTGTAGATTCCCCTTTTGTTTTTGGCTAGGCTATGTTTTAGACTGTATAGCTGAACATACCATGAATTATGGGATTTCAACAAGGCAACTGAGTCCCTAAGTCCAGTTCCCTCATTGTCTAAAATTTCTCATATTGTGACATCATATTTAGCATTTCACCTCACTTCCACTCACCATAACTGCCTGCTGATCATGTGCATGTATTAAATGCAGAACACGGTCACCATAAAACAAAAAGGTTCTTCTATGAACCTGTCTCATTAAAATCTTCACCGAAGAGTCTCATTATGTGAGATGAGCTCGGTGGCACCCTGTATGTTGAACTTCCTATGACCATTCATTCAACGTCTGTCATCGTTTTTTAGATGTCAAATTTTTATTTGGGATTTTAGTTCCCTTTACTGTGACTGACCAGTCCTGCTTTCTAATCTGCCAGTATCTGTGATGTTATATGCCATTATTCTTTTTCTACTTTATCACACACCAGTGTGATAGAAAGCCTAGACACACAAATTTAGTTTAAATGAATAGACATCATGAGGTGTGAGCTAGATACTAGTGGCCACATACCTCAATCACCTTGAAAAATCAATGGTGGTAGCTCCACAATAAATTCTATATTCATTTTGTGTAGTAAAAGGAATGTGGCAATTTAGCTAACATGATTTCAGGGAAGGATTATCCAAATAAACCAGATGCAGCTCTTATTTTTAAATGCAAATTTCCCTTCTTTCCCTCAGTCCAACTGAGCATGCCACAAGGCAGCAATTTAATGAGCTCTTGGTTGATCTGATGGAACTTTAAGAGCAACTGTAAATTGTATTTTATGCAACACAGCAAGTATGTCTGTCTCCCTACAATGGAAGTGCATGAATTTTTTACTATGTATACTGGCTAGTTCACATGACTTTTTTTGCATTCTCCCTGCCTCATAAGCATAAGACAGGACAGACTGTTTCATGACATGTTTGAGCAACAGGGAATGAATAGCTAAGACCAAAGATGAAATATTTATTAATTTGTACCTATCAGAAAAATACTGTAATCAAGATTGTCTCTAAAGACAGTATCCTGCATCTACATTCCCATCAATACTATCACTCACAGTAATGCTGCACTATGCCTTCTGTTTATTTCATGTATGCTATGGTATAGCATGGAAAGCCGAGGAATTAGTGACTAACAGCCTTTATGTCTGCTTACTGTTGTCTTCATTGTCCCCAAATAGGCGAACTTGGGTTGAGACTGAAACTCTGCAATTACAAAGACCAGATAAACAGTGAGCTAAGAGAACCCTGCTTAACTAATCCAACAAAATAGCATTTTCAAAATGATTTAAACTAATCTCTAAAAGGTGAAACTGGAAATTGATATGATAAAATGAGCTGCTATATGGTTGCTTCAGCAACAGCAACTTCTTCAACCAGAGTTAGAAAAGCAGTCCATGGTTTACGTTGACAAATATGACATCTCAGTGTTCACATACTACTGGAAACTAGGTTAGAAATACTCTATACCACTTAGTACATTAAACAGTTAAGGAAGGAATACAAGATACAGAAGAAATACACCACTGTTCAGTGTTGTGTCTAATACTAGACATCCTTGTTTAGTCACTAGTTACCCAGCATCCTACCAGGGCCCATTACTAAAATCTGCCCTACTCAGTCCATTCCTTTAAAATGGGCTGGGGACTCAGAGCACCAACAGGCAGTAGAGTATTTCCCACTGTTCCTCAGAGTGATATTTAGCGGGAATTTTGGAAAATTAAATGACAACTGCTGCGTTGTGCCAAATAGCTGTGTTGTGGCCCAGCAAAGGACACTTTGCCTAGGCCCTCATTGAAACCTAGAGCCTGCTGTGCTGCAGATTCAACATGCAGTCAACTCCTTTGCCATTACATGCGTGACAGTAGTAGAAATATGATTGGGAACTGAACACATATGTGATTCATTTCCAATACTAGTCTCTGCATGATCCCATCTTTGTGTGACTGCCAAAATTTCTTCATTAAACAGAGTGGAAGAGGCCAGAGACTTGTCATAGTAATAATATAAATAATTCTTACTATTTTGTCTGGTTACTGAAAGTCTCATGAAACAAGCATCTTTCAGCTCATAAAGGCAGAACAACAGCTAAACTGAAATGGTTGACTTTTAAAACATCACCTATCAATTACTGTAATATAATACACAAACTGAGAATATAAGCATTTGAAAAACAAATGCATACAACAGGCAAAATTGTTAATACTGAAATGGACTTCTATCAAACCTCTACATGGGGTATGACTCTAAGCAAGGGCAGTAAAGTAGTAGCTATGGTATCGCATTTGTATGCCGCCCCGTATCACTGACAGTCATACTGAGACATTATTTCTGCTTGTAAAACTTGATCCCATTCCAATCTATTTGTATAATCATGTGGGAACATTTGACAATAAAATGTTCTGTGAAACAGTATTCAACTTATCTCTTGGGCAGGGTGGGGGGAGTAGCAAGGAATTCTTGCATGTGTAATGTCTGGAAAACTGAATATCTGAATATTCATTGTGGTTAGGATAACAAATAGACAGAAACAGCCCTTGTTTTTAAATTATGCATAAAGCCAGTGATTTCTCCTTTAGTGCTGGCAAGAATCATGGTTCAGTATATTTACGCTCTCAAAAACTACACTGAAAAGCTTCCAAAGAAATTTAAATTTAAATATGGAAGATCTAGTTACTGTTTGCATATACTCTGTTTATGGCGTGCCTTGAAGTACATTGCGTTTCGTTAATCCATTAATGATTACTAATGTGAAATTCTGTTGCCTTGCTAACAACTGTTTTTATTCTAAAAATAGTTGCTTTTAAGCACACAGTAGAACACAAAACCTCTTTAGAAACTATTAAGTGTGTATAGTGGCTAATTCTGTATAAAGTTTACAAAGAAACTTAGTTTCACTAACGTAAGATTAAAAATAAGCATTGAATAACCACTATGTATACATTTAACCTCCACAAAAACTTGTTAATACTCAAAATTCACCAAAAGAACCAAGACGAGCAGGTAATGTAGTTATACCAATGCTACTTTAAATGAATATGTATTGCTTATTCCTTAACAAATCATAGCACATCAAAGTGAGGCATCACACAAACCATTTAACAGGGCCGATACCAGAACGTTCTTTAATGTCACTCTGTAGTTAGTTATGTAAGCACACTTAAATCAAAGCCCACACAATTCCACTGACTGATAGAACCAAATGGACTTAAATCCCAAAACCCCTCTCTGCATAGTTGGAGGTCAATGCTTTCTCTTCCTTTTCCACTAAATTGCTATAACCTCCGAGATCAAGTGCTATCTCAACAAGCACACATAATCAAGAAGCTGCATTTACAAATGCAGTACCAGAAGTACACAGAATATTGAGGAAAGGCTGAAAACAATTACTTTTTATTGTTCAGATATAGATCACATTACATATAAAATACATTAAACATTAGAATGGTGCTTTATTTTAACAAGATATAATCAGAAACATTTGCTAAATGTTAATAAATCATAGATGCCTAAAAATCTTAGACTTAATAACACAATTTATGAAATTACAATATGGGGCCTACATGGATTTTTTAAAATCCTGTGCTGTGCTATCTCTGAATTCTGCACAATGGTCCAATATAAAGATTGTTCTTTGATTTATGAAAAAGCACTGAAGGTCTATATGTATTACTGGATATAGGCCTCTTATTTTTCTTCACTGAAACATACTTCTCTTCCTTAGGATGAGGTGCATGTATTGGCTTCCAAGGTATGGGGTTGTAAAAGGCTGGCGCTGGATAGGCATTTCCATCTGGATATCCTGAAATGTTTAGAAAGGATAAACAGTTAAGAACTGGTATTTGTGCTAAATTTCTCTTCAAGCTAAGATCTTTGGTAGGTTAACTATAATATGTTATCTAGGGCACATTCCTTTGCATATTTAGAAAAAACCCTACAAATCATAGCATTTCCTTGCAAGCCATGCTGGATGTGCAATGTTGAAAACTGGAGGACCTTTTCTGTTTAAAGATGCACAGGGTTACATCCTTAATAAATAGCATTAATTTAACTTGATCATCTAAACCTGAAGATTTGTGACAATTGGATTGATTTCACAAAGGACAGCACTGTAAATCATCCATCTAACTAATATATGATCTGCATAGAATAGTAAAGTTGGAAGGGGCCAAGAAGATCATCAGGTCCAGCCACCTTGCTCAGTGCAGGACTCCAAGTTAAACCATCCCTCTCAGATGGGATAGTTCATTTTAATATATTAATCAGGGTTTACTTTCACCTCTACAGGGTCCTGATAAACACATTTTCTGTTAGCAAAGGGGGGACCACATGGTCTATATTCCATTTGATCATATCTGACTTGAACTTGAAAGATAACAAAGACTTCCATCCCACAAAACTTTATATGCACATATGTTGCATTGTACAGTAAACAAAAAACAAAATAGAAATGTTCTGAGAATAGAAGCATCAACTTTGAAGCAATTATTAAATGCTGTTGTTCACAGGCCTCCTTTTCATACTTATTTTAACATTCACATTACTTCTATGTATGTCCAGTATGGTAAGATAGGAAGCAAGCATTCATTAGGTGATTAATTCACAGTCTGAATGAATCAGTGCCAGTTTTTGGAATAGTATAACCTCAAATGTAATAGTGAGGAGCATTTAAAAAAAACATTTTAGGTCAACTAAAAAGTTCAAATCTGAAGTATTTTATCTATGTGTCACTCTGACTAACTTTTTGGACTTTGTACTAGTAACTCTCTCAGATGGAACACCCTTTTTTAAACTGCTCAGCTCATTTTGTGTTACAGAACCCACCATATTCTTAATACAGATTGCATCAGTTACTTAGAAATGTATTTATAGTTTTAGGGAATTAAGCTAGAACTTTGGCTTAGCATACAACTCTGAATGCTCTGATGGTCAGACCATCGACTAGGGTTAGGTCTCTCAGGACTTGTAAGTTGTGTGAATGAGATTTGATTCTGTCAGTTAACTTATTCTTTCTCCAAACATTAAATGAGAAGGGATCAGACCAATATAAATGTGCAGTATGCACAATATGCATATATTAATTCTACATTACTCTGAGTGTATTCTTCTCTTATGTGACATATATCTGAATAAATATGTAGGAATAGTACTCCCCAAAACAGGTCAAAAGCAGAAGATCTATGCTGGATCACACTAAAAGCTTGTGTAACCCAGCATTTTGTTCTAACCAGTGGCCAACAAAAGACACACATGAGAAGCCCACGAGGTATGAGTACAGTATCACCCTCCTACTCATGTTCTCCAGCAGCTGGTATACAGAGGCATACTGCCTCTGATATTGGAAGTAATATACAACCATCATGACTAGTAGGCAATCCCCACAGCTATACCTTCTAGAAGCAAATTCCCTAGTTTAACTATGCACTATGTGAAATGCTTCCTTTTATCTGTCCTGACTCTCCTTCTCCCCTAGGCTTGATTACAAGTGAGGGAGAAAAACATCTCTGTACCTACATTTCCTCATGAAGATGGAAGTGATCAACAGAAAAGGTTCCAACATGCTGCTTTTCAGTCCTTACTTCTTAGGGCATAATTGTTTACATATAAGGCACAATATTAAAAATGGTAGGCTTTTCAAATTATTTTAACAGGTTAAACAGCAAATATTAAGCCATTTGCATTTAGCAGTTACATATACTTCTATAATGCTTATTGGTTTAAAATGGGAAAGCTTGAAACAAAAGCTTTAACTGAAAATGTTTCTCTGAATTCTGAGGAGATCTTAGGTTTTTAAGCACAGACTAGCAAATGGAGCAAAATTGGGATGAGGAGGTTTTCCTCTGTTTACATGTAGCCCTGCCTTCTAGGCACCAGTCTGCAAGCAAGGAGGGGCCATTTCTTCCACTAGTCAGTATTAAAACTTTCTCAACCTGGAGGTGAACAAGGAAGTAATACTCTTATGTGGAACTTTGTGTAGATATGCTAGAATAAAGTGGTTTTACTTGTTTTTTAAATTACTTTAACAGAAGTAACATTTATAGTCTGGACTGATATTATACATCATAGTTATGTGTAAATATTGTCACATAATGTGCAACATCTCATACAATGAAATATAAAAATAATGAAATTCTTGTATTATTTTTATAGCTTTGTAATATCACAGTGGCTAGGTTTCAAGATTCACACAAGGCAATTCCTGGAAAAGGACATTTGTGTGTCTTCCTACCGCTGCACTCTTTGAACAGCCTCTCTGGAGAATCAGAAAACTTCCTGAACAGTATGGGATGTAGTGCAGGAAGCTGCTAGAGGAAAGTGAAATCACCCAAACGTGGGTTGATGCTCTACAGGACAGCACAACAATGTCTGCACAAAATGCTTCTCCCTGATGTAGGGTGATCCCAACAGCCTATTCCATACTGTTTGGGGAAAACTGGGAAGGTAGGGGGAAACATTTCAAAATTCAGATCTCAGAATACAGCTACCCAAGATAACAATGCTGAAAGCCAGTTAATTTTCAGCAGTACTTGTTATCACTCTTTTTCAGAGAAGGGTAAGCATTCCCTGTGGGCTATACCTAAAAGGTGACAGCAGAGATGGATTGCCTTCCCCATGACAACATCTTTGTCAAGAAAGGAATTTCAATGCATTTTATTAGGGTGGTCAAAACAAGGTCTGCAATATGTTTCGCTGTGTGAACAAAACTGGAAATAATTTTTTAAATAAATCACTTAGACAAGAGATGGCAGCTGTCAACAAGTTATGATATCTTAACACAAAGAATGAAATAAATATGCACCACCATTTATAATTTGTATTTAATATATTTGTATAATTTGTATTTAATGGTAATTTATTATGTTCTATTGTATTTCAATGTATTTTATTGTGTTGTAAGCCGCCCTGAGGCTTCGGCAAGGGGTGGCATAGAAATGTTATAATAATAATAATAATAATAATAATAATAATAATAATAATAATAATAATATCAAGTCAAAAGTGCAACTTGTTTTGTGTCTGGTTTGCTACTTAGTATTCATAAAGAACAGCAGTACCTGCCCCCTCATCAGCATGTAACTTTAGGTTAACATTTGTATAATGGCAATATATTTGATGAATAAAAATGGGGAAAATGCTAAGTAAAAAATGTAATTTAATGACAATGCATTACATTCATTATAGTAAAATAATGTGGTTAGAAACAGCAACAAATCATGGCTTTGTGATAACAACTATTTGTGTGAAAAAAGATGGAACGAGAGGTTGAAATCATGTGCCTCATTTCATGTACTAAAGACCAACTGCATTCAACAGGGTTTAGATCTGTATAATTTGATGCAGGATTACAGCGAGACAAATATGACTTTTACAATGCACAAAAACAGTTCCAGATCCATCACAGGGAAGGGCCTGATTTCTCGGATGGTACACTCAGTGGAGAAATAATTAAACATAATTAAACATAAACACAGGAGAGGCTGAACCCTCAACTTATGTTAGGAAAACTGCTTATTATGGAAAGCCCAATGTGTTTCAGGGATGAAGTATTTTGAGAACAAATGCACAAACAAACATAAATAAGGAGTAAAGGAAAGACTGTCATATTGTTCTGTCATGAAGTGAGGTCCAAATTTATGAGCCAGTCCTGAATGATTTTGACATTATATCTTTGATACTCCCCTTTCTGTTGGATAAAATGATTCTAAATCACAACAGTGGTTGCTTCATTTGCCTTCACAAATCTGAAGATCGGACACAGCATTCCAAGGAGCAGAAGGAGAATGAAGAATTGAAAAATGCAATCTTTGTGCATGGTCTATTTGAGAGAGAAGATCTGGAAAGCTTATTTTGAAACTTTTCAGTATGGTGACATGTGTTTCATATCTATGATTGATTGTTTCATTTATGGCTTGCTTTGTATTTCTGTATTAATTTAAGTGCTTGATTATGGGCTGATAGTACTTGGTTAATGTAATAAAAATGTAATTTTATATCTGGTGTGCTGTGTTGCATTTGATTTATGGTTTATATTCAACTGCCTTCAAATCTTTCAGTACAAAGGTGGATTAGACATTTAATAAGTTCTTAAACAAGAGGACAATTCATGACAGAATCACAATGCAAAGTCAGCAAGTAGAAGCATCTTCTCCCATTTTCAATTTCATTGAATTCGACTGACCAAAATGAATGCTCTGAAAAGCAGAAGACCTTACATGAAATACCACTGAGTTATGGGAAAACAATGCATTCACACACACATGCACACACACTCCTTGAAATGGGGCAACATCTACCTTTTGTAGTCTCTCCATAATATCATCTACGGATAAGGAATTCTATCTCATGAACATTTTAAACAAAGCCTTTGAAAATAAATAGGAAAGATATCAGAAAACTGATATTGCTATTACAAATTAATTACATACTCTGTTACTCTATCTAGTATAGATACAAACCAGTCAGTTTCCCATTGGCATAGACATAGTCAGCTGATGCTGGGCGGATCTTAGTTCTAGAATTTTGCAGCCATTCTTTGAACATCCTCTCTGATTTTTCTTTTTTCTCCTGTAATTCAGCTTCCTTTTGCCGTTCCTTCTCCTACAAAAGGAACACAGCCAACTCAATCTATTTTATTTCTTTGGGCATAACTCAATCCGTTTTAAGCCCTTGCAGTATGACTAATTTGATTTGGAGAATGTTTCTTATATGTTTAACTCCCTCACTAAAATTAATGGAATTTAATTTACCTTAGGGTTCTAAAAGTTTCAGCTATATGTTCATTATTTACAAACAATCTCACTGTAGTACCACCACAACATAATGTACAGAAATGGAAAGATCCCAATTCAAATATCACTTCAGTCATGAATTGATTATTTAGTCAGTTCTAAACTCAACTGGCAATATGGAACATAAAAGTATTATTTATAATCTGCCATATGACAACATTCTCAAAACAGCTCAAAATACTAAGTTATTTAAAATTTAAAAAATAAATGATAATAGAGAAGTACAGAGTGCAAACATCTTTAAGCTAGGACAAATTAAAGACCCATTTTTTAAAATAAGATCTTCAAGGGATAAAATGAGATATGCATAGCAAAGCCCTCTGGGGCAGGCATTCCTTAGGGCATCATTACTGAAATGGCTTCTGCTCTCATAGCCTATAGCTATTTGCTGCATTTCACTTTGGACAAGGACTTGTGAAGTTCTCAAAGTCTAAGTAAATGTTAAAAGGCAATCTTTCAGGTCCTCCAGTCCCAAATCAGGAAGGACTTTAAGTATTAAAAGCAGCACCATAAATTAAATCCAGATTACTGACATGATCTTGGATCAAGATTGGTGTTCCCACCTGATCTTTCAAGATCTTATCTCCTTCATCTCCCCCTGAACACTCAACAGCTCAGAGAGTCCCCCATCCTTCTGTGTAGCTTTTGCTGGGGACTGAATGGGCTGCCACCGGGATGGGGAAGGTCTGTATCTACCAGCCTAGCTGCACACACCTAAATCTGGATTATGTATATAAAGAGAACTCTAAACATGCAAAAATGCTGCAAAATGTTGTTAGTATTACCATCATTCAATAACTATCATTGTTACTGTCACTGCATCACAGTTTATCAACAAGACATGCTCGACAATTTCAAAGCACTTCTATTATACAGTGGTACCTTGGCTCATGAACTTAATCTGTTCCAGGACTCTGGTCGTGACCCAAATTGTTTGTGAGTCAAGTTAAATTTCTCCATAAGGTTCAATGTAAATAAGGTTAATTTGTTCTGTGACTATTTTTTTTTTAATTAGAAAAATGTGAAGAAGCAAAGTGACAAAGAGCAACAAAATCGCAGCCACCTCCCCCTGCCCAAGCAAGAGCCCAGCCATCTCCCCCCTCCGCAGCACGACCGCAATCGCGCCGTCATCCCTGCACGCACCTCTCATCCCAGCGCGCTGGGGGGGGGGGGGAGAGACGGGCGCGAACGTGGGCATACTGGGGGGGAGAGACAGGTGCAAATGCGGGTGCGCTGGGGAGGAGAGATGGGCGTAAACGCGGGCATGCTTGCGGGGGGGAGATGGGCGCGATTGTGCTGGGGGGAAATGAGTTTGCGGTTGCACTCATGCAGGAAAGACGGGCGCAATCATGGGCATACTCCTGCAGAAAAGGCGGGCACAATCTTGGCCATCTCCCCCCCACCCCCAGCACGATTGCGGCCATCTTCCCACTCGGGAGGGTGGGGAGATGGCCGCCATCACGGTCACCACCCAATGCAGAGTTCGTGACCTGTGTCAACATTTTTATGAAATTTTTGTTCGCAACTCAATCTGATCATGAACTGAGGCGTTCGTGAGCCGAAGTACCACTGGAACTGCAAAATCTACAAACTCAGTTTGGTGACAACTGAGGAAAAATGCAACTGATTTTAGAAACCCTGCTGATCTTCTTATGCAGCTACTAATAATAACTGCATTATGAAGGGCAATTAGAAAATGGATGTGTGCAATCCATTAAACCCAAACATCTGTTCATTGACCAATCTTATTTCACAAATAATTTGTAGAACAAATTAGATCCTCCACATATTAAGATAAATCTTCTTCACCCATTAATTTCCTCTGAAAGTTATCCTAACAATAAAATTATATGACGAGGAGAAGAGTTCATACACTATGCAAAAAGTGCCTAAATGATTTAATTTAATGGTTCATAGAATAGAACAAAACTTTCCAAATAAAGCCAGCAACAAAGCCAAGCAACATGTTAAAGGACAGAATCAAGACCCAACGATTGTTAACCAATTTGTTCAGGAAAAAAATGCATACAAAAAGGTTAACTGGTTGCATACCAAGAAGGCTCAAAGCCCATCTACAATCTCTCTCCAAATGAAAAATTAAAATAAAATATACCTTCTCTTTCTTCTTCTTCTGAACGTCTTCCATTTTCTTTTTCTTTAGCCATTCTTCATACATTTCTTTTGCTTTTTCTTTTGACTGTGCTCTCTCAAGTTCTTTAGCAGTTTTTTCTGCCATCTCCTTACTGAGCTTACGCTCCTTTTCTCTTTTTTCCTATTAATAATGTTCAATATTTTAGAGAGAACAGTGACAAAAATAGCTTATTCGAAGGACAATTTGTCCCTGGTATTCTATGTGCAGGATTTATCGGTATTATTGTCATGATTTGTGCTGTGAGCCACCCAGAAAGCCTTCTGGCTAAGGGGCAGCATTCATTCATTCATTCAATCAATCAATCAATCTTCTTGGCTGCCAGACCTGCTAAATGATACAGGCTAAAAACAGATTTACCATCTTACTGAGAACCAGGCTATGGTTATGATCAGGAATACAGGATCTGCTCCAGTCTATTTAAAAGAGTACAAAACTACTTTTTGTAAACTGAATGTGCAGCCAGCCTTTGCATTGTATTATCTATTATATGCACATTAGTTGTATCATGTTCTATCATTTTTGTTTCATTCATTGGTAACTGGTCACATTATTGCTCTGGTTCACAGAGTGCTTAGTACAGCACTTTTGTGCCTTCAGTCATCTCTCTACAGGAGAGTTCTCAGTTAAAATGTTAATAGCCACTCTTAGATGGGAAAACTGTGATTACACAGTTCTAATGGCTACTGACATAAATGAATCCCAGCAGTTTTGTTATGGTGGCAGACAAGTCTGATATGGTTACTCAAAGTGGAAGCTTTATGTTTGTTCAATCAGGGACAGGCCAAGTCTGTTATATGTGGATTCACTAATACTCAGGATGGAAAAACTCCAGCCTGGTCCCCCATCCAGCCCACCAATCCCCTCCTCTATCTACTCTTCCTTTGTTATGAAAGGAAAAAAAAATCTCCAATCAGCATTCCATAGGGGATGAGAGCATTATTTCCCTGTGGCATACAGGGGCCTTGCCCTGCAGAGGCTTGCCCTGCTTCCTTCTGAGTAGACATGATGCTTATGCTTATTTGGAATAAAAACGTTGTTTGACACTGCTGTTAAGTAATTCAGTTCTACTTCTTTCTCTGCCTTGTCCTGCTAATGTCCAACTAGACGTGCAGAGGTTTGGTGTTTGGGATGCTGATCAAAAGTTCTGCTAGGTTATTCTCTCCTGCTTACTTCTAAGCAGACACGCAGAGGCTTACTTTGCTTAAAGAGTGAGTAGACATGTTTCCTACTATCAATGGTTAGCAATGGAATGGGGGAGAGGTGGCACTGAATGCAACTGAGAGCATCTCCAAAACAGAATACAGCCCTTGTGGTGGGAAAAATGCCACCCCTGATTTAAACTGATACCTGCATGTTAAAAGGTTAGTTGCAGCTGGGCCAAAAATGGGCCAAGCTAATTCCTGAGAGAAGGAGGTATGTGACCCTGGTGAACACATCCACAGTGAACATAGTTGTTTGGCATTACTACACAGCTTCTTAAAAATAATATGGGCAGTATTGGAACCTCAAGTTAGTGCACAAGCCAGTGATCAGTTTTCCTTATTCAAAACAACACCTACAAGAAAAAATATACAATCCTATATCCATTTAACTGGGAAAAATCTCCACAGAAATAGGCTAACTTTTGATTAGGATTATTCTGCTAATTCTGCCATTTAATTACAGTGCAATCATATTCATGTTCAGACTGAAAAAATTCAACTCCCAGCATTCCCTAGCTGCTTGAGGAATGCTCAGAGATAAAGTCTATTCTTCTGTCTAAACATGCAAGACTGCATTCTAAATTCATGTTCATTACAGTCACTAACAGGTCAGTCATCAGGTTTTCTTCCTAAGTACAATGCTGTACAACCCCCCTAAAACGCATAAAACAGTAGAATTTTTGTGTTAAATTGGAAAGTGAAAAAGTTATCCCAAGCCCAAGTTAAATATCATAAAGTAGAAATAACTGGTCCTGTAAAAATGTACAATAACATGAGAGAATGAAGGAACTCTTCACCCTTTTCACCTCTTCATTTTTTTTCTGGACCCATTCTTTGTGTTTCTCTTCCGCAATCAGTTTTTTCTTCTCACGTTCCTGTTTTTCCTTCTTCTTCTCCATTTCTATGTTCAACTCCTATTACGAAAGAACAAAATTACTATTTTGGTTCTGCACTGGATTCAAATGTCTTTATTATTACAAGCATTTGTCAAGAACATTTTGTAACACTAAAAAGGTAACACTGAGAAATTGTTTAAGAGTGAAAATTTAATAGCTTTCAGGGCTATTTTACTCTTAAATATGTTTTAACATATTATGAAGTCACCATCAACACGTAATAGTTTTGTCCAAAGAATATACCATGGAGAGATTGTACACACACAGAGGTTGTATAAAACAGTGGTCAATATATGACCCAAGGAAACTGTAAGAGGTTAAGACGTTAATGTGTTCCAAAACATAAGAAAAGATGATCTCCGGTGCATGACTAACTTCTTATACCCAATTCATTTTGGAAAGGATTTTCTTTCCTTGGGAGCCACTTATCCTTCTCTAAGTATGGCTCAAAGAATCTTTCTGAGATGAACTCTGTTTTAAGATGTTTAAAATCCTTTTTCAAAGAAAAATCATTATCTCAGTTTTGTTTTTCTAGAAGAGGAAGGAGAACCTGGTCTAAAATAAATGAAAGAGACCAAGAAACAGAGAGCATTACACGTGCCATTGCAGGTCCTCATGGATGTCACATGGGTGCCATTGCAGGTCCCCATGGATGTCACATACGGACTACCTGACACAGATTGTTTTCAATGGTGATGTTGGGATGATATGCCTCAGAGGTTTAGGAAGAGCAAACACTTCCATTTCTGCACGATCTGCTGAACTTGGAGAAAGGTAGTGTTTGATCAAGCCCACAATGATCAAACCTAGTTTATTTTATAGGGGAAGTAAAAAAATATAGAACTCCATGTTGATATGCTTTGTGAAAACAATAACAAAATTAAGATATTTGTTTTTAATATAAAGTTAAGATATTAGAGTTTGCCTAAGTGCAGGATCAAGTAAGAAGTTTTTATTATCTGGATGAAACAGTGTTTAATTCAATAAAACCATCTCTTTCAGTCATATTCAATATACAGTGTCTATGTTTTTAAAATATGGAATGAGTAATCTACTTGAATTGCTCTATGTGCACGTGCACTTTGTCGAAAGGGTTGACAGCACACTTACACTTAAAATAATGTCAAGATAAAGTCTGATTATTTAGAAAATTTCTGATTTTCACCTCCACCCCCATATCAAAGTAAGAAATGGGATGGGGTTATGACAGTATGCATCCTGGAACAATAAACCAAATACGATACAATGTATCCAGATGTCTTAGAGCCAAAGACCTCCTTGACTATTTACCTTGGCTTACAGTGTTACAACACTTAAAGAAACACATGCATAACCATTTAGAAATAACAATACCACTGCACACAACAAATGAATCATCACTGAATATAAAAATAAAAAATAAAGCAAGCACAAATGCATTAAAATATAAAACTCAATGCAATTTATTTTTCAAAAACAAGGGAAACAGGCATCTTGGTGCTGACAGTCTGATGTCAACTGTAAAAATAATCTGAGTATTCACCTCCAAAGCTCGTGCTTGTAAGCGAGCACGCAGCTCCTTCTCTTTGCAAAGAAACCATTCTTCCCACGCTGACAGATTATCTTCCATAGGTGACTTATTTTTCTTTTGTGTGCCATCAAAGTGTTCACCACTGTGAAATGACAAGATATTAGTTGCAACAGCTTATATGAATACTATTTTCAAGTAATACAATACAGAACAAATGATGTTATAAAACATTTACAACACTGGCACAGTCATGACATCGTACCCGTAGGCATCTGTCCCCTAGATAGGGTGGATGTGATTTAAGCCACTAGTCAGTAAGGCTAGATTTCTACATAATATGCATGCATACATGCCTTACCCATAGATAGAGCAACTTAAAGTATTCTGACATTGGGTCTCTTTTATGGCCTGCTATCAGGTTTTCTCCTCTAGTGAAATAGTAAGATAAACATATACAAAAGAGTATTTTGCTCGAAACGGCCCACTTTCATTTTTACTACTTGCTCCTCCCTCCTCACACTTAGCTTCTTCTGCAGATCTATTCCACTCCCAACAATTTTTTTCTATTCATTGAATTTTTTTGAAACTTAGCACTTAACAGGTAAGAGATTGATTCTGCATACATAAATTTGCAAAGGAACAATGGGATGAAGGTCTTTTTCTCAACTCTGAACTTTCAGCTTCCTCTTCCCTCTGCAGGGCTGGAGGACCCATTCAGCTGGTCTGTTCTGAGTCTAATGGAATCTATGTCTCCAGAAGGCTTTGGGGGGTTTTCTGGCTGCTGTGGTAGGTGCTCTTGTCTAAGCCCAGGTCTCTCCATGGAATATGAAGATAACCTGAACAGTTCACATGATTGCCCCCAACCATCCTCTCCCCCATCGCAGAGCCCAACCTGCTCGATATACATCTGAGCTGAGGGTGATGAAGCAGGAGGGAAGATGGCTGGAGCTCAAGTGGAGGAAAACTTGGGCCAAATCCGACCAAGCATGGCTTAGTGCTCACTATCAAGCCTATCTCATGGTGGTAAAGGTGACGGGGACACTTTTATTCCACCTGCATCACATCTTCAGAGTGCCATTCAGTGGAGCTGTTCCGTGTGGTTCAGGGCCTTCTACACTTTGGTTCCAAAAGAGGTATCATTGAACCCAGTGTGGTGTAGTGGTTAAGAGCGTGTGACTGGGACTCAGACGACCTGGGTTCTAGTCCCCGCTCAGCCATGGAGCCAACTGGGTGACTCTGGCCCAGTCACAGACTCTCAGACCAACCCACCTCACAGGATTGTTGTTGTGGGGATAAGATGGAGGAGGAGAATGATGTAAGCTGCATTGAGCCCTTTGTAGGAAAAAGGCAGGTTATAAATCGAAAAATAAATAATAAACCCTCGGCAGCCCACTGTGATGAATTTCCGTAACACATTGAGGGCAAAATCACTCTGATTTGCTCCGACTTGAACACCACGGTTGTCCCAGTCCAATCGGCAGAGGTGTCTAGCACACTATCTAATCTTGTTTCATTGGATCCATTTCAGTTATTGCAGCCCAATGATGTAGACATGGTGCCTGGACAAATCCAGCCCACCAGTTGCCCCTTGCCCATCATGGCTAATCTAGGGAGATCTAGGGAGGGGGTTCGCACCTGGACCCAGGAGGCTGTTAACACCTACTTGAGAGAGATAGAGAGAGAGAGTGATGCCAGCCCCCTTTAAAGGTGGCTGTGCTAATAGCACTCCTAAAGAAGCCAGGCCTGTACCCAGGTGATGTGAATAATTTTAGACCAATAGCCAATATCCCCTTCCTGCGCAAAGTGATGGAGTGGGTGGAAGGCACTGCTAAAGAATTATCAAAAATCCAAGAACATACATTCATGACTGCAATCTGTTCATAATTAACAAGTAAGCCTAGAGGGTAGTTGGGAGAATTACAAGGCATGAAATAATTAAATTCATCACGTGATCAAAATATGCTGCTTTTGATTCATGAATATAAGGATTAAATAACTAAATTTAGTTACATATGAAAAGAGTACCAAATGCATGAACATAATACTCAAGACTGAGTTATGAGAGTGGTACCCTTCTTACCCAATATAACATGAAGGTGGTACCCATCTTACTGTGTCACAAAGCCCCTGGTCAGTAAGATGGGTACCACCTTCATGTTATATTGTCTATAATATGTTATACCAAATAATTATCAGTAGTTACTGGCTATCTGTGAAAGAACCAGTGCATTCAGATTTATATAACTTTTTCTAAAAACACCACAAATTAATTTGATGCTTATATATGAAAGGAATGGGCTAATCAGGAAAAGTATTGAAAGAGGAATGTACTGAAAGCTTGCTCTGGCTGAGTACCTGTTGCTTAGTGCTTAAAGTATGTGCTAGTATTCTACCGTGCCACCTTTTTGTTCCACTCACTCAGTAGAATAATTCGAGAACGCAATGTCACTGACATTTCATTTACACTGTTAAGTTTCAAGATTTTTCTTCCTGAAAGGAATAAGGTTGTAAGGAACTACTATAATGGGAGTTTCAAGAATATCACAAATAAAAGTCTGTGATTATGCAGAGGGCTGTTATTGTTGGGTAACCGCCTGACAAGAGGCCCTTGGTATCAATCTTCCTCTTCACCAGTGCAACATACTTGTTTACTTGCCTCTTATTGTGGCCCAGAAGTGTTAATGAAAAGTCACTGTCTACTTGCTCACTAGCTCTCTGTCTGCCAAGCAATTAAGTGAGAGCTGGGATAAAAATGTAATGGCAGCTAGTTACAATACTAGGTAGAATATTGTATCCAGGGCAACTTATTTTACACCAGGGCGACTCATTTTATATTGTTAATTCGTTTTATATTTTTAATTTTTAATGTATTATATTTTAATTGATGTTTTGTGAGCCGCCCCAAGGCTTCGGAGAATGGGGTGGCATAGAAATTTTCTAAATAAATAAATAAAAATAGAGAAAGTAAGTCACTGAGGGAGAGGGCCCACTGAGACATCTTGCCCAAGGGCCCTCAAAAACCTGAAACTAGAGCTGCTTAATAATAAGAAAAAAAAGAAGCTCTGAATAAAACTATTATATATAGAAAAGATTTTTATATGGGAAGCTGTATACAACCTGTGTGTAAAACAGCAACAATCTAGCCTTTTGGATAACCGTACCAGAAACCAAACCATTTCTCTAGGTTTCATTGCAGATCGCTTGCAGAAGAAACTCTGTACAGCAGCGATGAACATGAAGAAATCTAATGCTATGTAACTAGCTGCCCTGCTTTGGGAATCTGGGGGGCAAGTTGATCCACCACAAAGCAGGTGAGGGGCAAGTTGATCCACCTGTACCTACAACATTTTTTGTACTTAGATCCAGTGTGCAAGGGCCTTTTTTTCCCTAGTCACTTCCAGACAGATGACCCTGAGCACCTCAGTTTAACCAAAAGAGCTGCAGCCTGGGCAGCACGTTACCTATGGTGTTTAATCCTCTGAGGGATGGCTGATCCCCCGTTAGCTGGTGTTGCTTCTTCCTCTTGCTCCTTGCGGTGGAAATCTGAGAAACTCTGATGAAAACTTGGCGAGATCAAAGAGAAAGTGGAAGACTTGCCGGCCCCCTCATCGTCGGAGCTAACAGGGGAGGATGGGGTGGAATGGGCTGCCCCTCGCCTGCTCCGTGGGGGCACGGAAGTGGGCATGGTGACAGGGACCTGCGAAGAAGGAACACGAGAGTGAACGGCGGGCAGGGTCTCAGAGGTCGCCCGGCCCACCTCGGGAAGCTCCTGCCTCAACTCCCTCGCCCGGACCCATACAGAGCCCTTCCCCTCCCCGCTCGCAGCCGCCTCTCAACCCGTGGGCCCGGCTCGGCCCACCTCCGTCCGTCCACAGCCCAGCACCCTCCTCCAGGCGCAGCCCAATCTGCGCCCCTCCCCCTAACGGCTCGCTCCGAAGCAGCGACGGCCCGTTCTACCTGAGGCCGCCGCTTCGAACCGCGCAGCGCCTACTCTGCTCCCAGCCGTCCCTGCGGCGCAGCGGACTCCGCCAATCACCACGCGCAACGGATGCCATGGCAACGGCGTTGCCCTTGGCCGTTGTCGCCCGCCCGCCCCAAGCGCGTTCCGGCCCGCCCACTCTCCAGGCGCGGCAGCCGGGCTCCTCCTCTCTTCTCCGGGACGCCACTTCCCGCGCTTTTCGGCCGTTGTTTGCTCTTCAACCCGTCGCTTCCTTTCACATAGTTAGAACTTCCCGCCCCCTCGATCATTGATCTCTGATTGAATTACCTCGACAATGCGGCCGCTGCCGTCACTACAGATGCTCCAGCTGCGTAGCATTGCCGCGCCTCCGTCCGAGAACCTTATGGAAGTATGGAAGGCCTGTCAGGCTGGGAATGTGTGAAATAACAAAGAGCTCGGTGAAAGAATAAACATGCAAGGTTGTTCCAATGTGTCTCCTTGGCTCATAGAAGTATCGACTCACCACCAGCCCTGTGCTCTTTGGATTGGGAGATGACCATGAAAATCTTGCCAGATTACCAGATGTAGGAGATGAGAGAGACCATCTGCATATGGTGAAACATGGTAACCAGTGAAAGGGGCCCAAGTGCCATAGTTGAAGATGCGCATGCCAGGGACATCTGAGGAGCAGCGTTGTGTACTGGATTTTTTAAAATGCAAAACCTACAAGTATCTGAACCAAAATGGGAAAGTTGGACTGCACAATTTTTTTGAGAACCTGGATATACTGAGCATTACAGAAACTTAGTGGAATGGAGAGAACTAGCAGGAGAAAAACTCTCTGAATATAAACTCAACAAGAGGGAAGGGGAATGGCATATTGGAGGTGTTGCTCTGTGCATCAAATAGGGTATAATGTTGAGCTGACTAAAAAACCTAAAAGGGCCAGACAGGATTGCTGTGGATGACAACAACGGGCTCCAAAACTTATTTAGTATTAGCGATATGTTATCTTCCAGAGCATAATGCTCCAGGTGATCTCGTGATGAACAGAGATGGGTGATTTCAGTTACCCATGCTATGACTGGATACGTGGTTCTGTCACAGCAAAGTTAAATTTCTTGATGCCATAAATAACTGTATCTGAGAACAGTCAGTCATGGAAATGATCAGAGGGGATATGACCCTAGATTTAATCCTAAATTGTGTCATACAGGACCTAGCACAAGGTGCAAATTTTGTTGAACCATTTAGAAAGAGTGGCCACAGAGCTATCAAATTTAAGGTATATTTAAAAGGAAAATTGCTAAGAAATTCCTGCACAGTCACATTTGACTTGAAAAGAGGAAACCTCTAAAATAAGAGATCTGGTAAACAGGAAGTTGAAAAGCAGAGTCAAAGGGATTAAACCCCTTCAAAATACATGGAAATCACTCAAAACGACAATAATACAAGCTGCATACCACAGTTCTATGTCTAATCAGCATGGTTAATGAGCAAGATCAAGGAAGATACTTTAAAAAATGCTTCCTTCAGAAAATGGAAGCCTGTTTGGATTAGGAAAACATAACACAAACTCACATGAAGAAGATGCAAGCAGACAATGGACACATTCACACATCAAGACAACCTGCCCTTGCAATATGCCACACTGGGTTGGTTGTCATACAGAAATCCCAGTGTATCGGACGGATGGTGAGTATCACTGTGGTTTGTTGGCCCTTCCATACACATACTTGCTTCTCCCAAGAGACACTGCAGGAGGACCAAGTTGTCATCTCCCTGCCATGATCATGAGCCTTATCAAGCTTGCCATGGCTTTTTCCCCACATTTGAGTTCATGAAAGCTCTCTGTTAAGCTGAATTTTGCACTACCTATTCTGAAAGTTACAGACAGTCCCTTAAACAGGCAACAATAATTATTTATAGCAGAACCAGGAAACCAGCTAGAAAAACATGATAATGGAATTCAAGGAGTACTAAAGGAGGATGACAAAGTTGAAATACTAAAGGAGGACAAGGATATTAAGGAGAACCTGAGTTATTTCATTTGTTTTCACTGCTGAAAATAAAGAACAGAATGATATTTGTGCATGAGCAGATGCGTTCAGAAAAGAAACCTGAGGAAGTGAGGCAAATAGTGGAGATAAAGGATAAAATTTTCAACCTTATTGACAAATCAAAAGATAATCATCAGACCAAGATGGTAGCCATCCTAGAGTTGCTTTAACTCAAATATGAAACCCGTGATCTGACAAAGGTATGTTACATGTCCTTAAGATCAGCTTCTGTACCTGAGAACTAGTGAATGGCCAATTTAACTTTTTTTTTAAGGATTCCAGGGTATAAGGGAAATTAGCTAGCTTGTGGGTAAAATGGCTGTAAGCATTATTATTGATGAAATCAGTAAGCATATAGTTGGACAAGCATATAGGTGAACCAAGAATCAACATGACTTCTGCAAAGGTAAGCGTTGTTGCACTAACCTTTTTAGAGTGGAGAGTGCCATGTTTAACATGTAGATGGGGTGACCTGATAATTATCATTTACTTGGACTTTCAAATGGCTTTTCACAAAATCCATTATCAAAGTTTTCTAAGCAACCTTAGAATAAAAGGAGAGGACCTTCGAAGTAACTTATGAAATAAGAAAAAGTAGAGAATATGAATACATGGTATATACTCCCAATGAAGGAATTTAATAAGGTCCTACAGGGAAAACCAATACTTTTCAATCTGTTTCTAAATGAGCTGGAATAAAAAGTCAGCAGTGAAGTGGCTATGTTTGTAGACAGCACCAAACTATTTAGGCTAGCTAAACTAAAAAAGGATTGTGAGGAGCTTCAAAAGAGCTTCTCCAACTTGAAGAATCACACATATACCTCAATGTAACCATGTGCAAAGTGATGCATATTGGGCAAAACATCTGATTTCAAGTATAAACTGATGGGATCTGAGCTAGCAGACCAAAAAAGAGACCCTGGGGTTGTGGTAGACAAGTTCAGTGAAAATGTCAATCCAGTGTGCAGCAACTGTGAAAAAGACGAATTCCATGCTTGGCATAACTTGAAAATAAAACCAAGGTTATATCCCTCTTAGAGCAATTTATTGTGCACCCACACTTAGACTACTGTGTAAAATTCTGGTCATTGCACCTAATTTTATTATATATGTGTGTGTGTGTGTGTGTGTGTGTGTGTGTGTGTGTGTGTATATAAAATTAGAATTGAAAAAGGCAACTAACATGTAACAGGATTGGAGCAACTCTCTTATGAAGAAAGGTTGCAGCATTTGGGATTATTTACCTTAGGAAAAGTAAGGGAAGACATAATAGAATCGTATGGTGTGGAGAAAGCATATAGGGACAGTTCTATCCTAGTCTTCTAATACCACAAGCTGTGGTTATTCTACTAACCTGAGTGATGTGAGATTTAGGGTAGATAAAAGAACATATTTCTTCATGCAGTGCATAGATGAAACCATGGAATCCACTTTCATGGTATCTAGTAATAACCACCACTTTTGATGGCTGTAAAAGGAGATTGGACAAAATCATCAGTGTTTGTTAGTCTTGCTTGCTATCTGCTACCTTGACTCTCAGAGGCAGTATGTTTACAGACCCCAGCTCCTGGGGAACTTGGGGGGAGCTTATGTATGTGGGAGGGTGCTGTTGTACTCATGTTGTGTTTGTAGATTCCTGTGAGCAGCTGAGTGGGAACTATGTGAAAGAATGCTGGATTAGATGGATGTTAGTCTGATTCAGCACGGCTGTTATGTTCACATCTGTGGTATATTGTTAACTTTAATTCAAATTACCAAATGCATATGCACAATGAGCAGCGTTCTCAGACAGCATTTAATTGATCAAGACCTTAGGTCAATGAGATATTGAAAACAAGCCTGGGGCCTCAGCTGCCATGGATTCATTCAAATATTAGGGACATCTGTTTGGCCACAATCCTCTGTAGAACTAATCATGAACATCGAGTAGGCATAATGTGCTTTGAATAAGATATGAATTACACAGAATACTAGAGTAACTGGTCACATCACATTTAAAAGGAGTATTAAATGGTAAAGAAAACAGCATAGAAACAGAAAGATATTAGACATGGTTTGGTAAAATCTAGCAAGTTCTATACCTAAAATGTTTTGAAGGTTTAAGAATGCTGGTCTGCGAGTGTAATAAATAATTGAAATCTGAAGGTTTAAGGAACACTAGTTTGAATTATCTTGCTATTCTAGTGTTGTACTGTCCTGTTGACCATTTTATCATAATGTTCACTATGTAGATAATGTCCAAAAGCATTAAAGTATGTTAAAGCAACTGATCCAGTATGATTATCATGTAAGTTCTCTACAGAATTCACTTCCTTATCAAAATGTAGCTCAGTTGTTTTGACTGGTCTACTTGTATTTACACTGTGCAGTATCTCGTTATGGAAAGCTGTAAAGATTCATTATGTACTCAGTACAACTTGTAGTTTGCAGCAAAACAAAATCACACTATTTAAATATTTTAGCAAAGAGTGTTGAAAAGAACATCTGGCTATCCATCATAAAATGTGGTTATGAGATCCCTTAAATCAACCTTCCCTCAACCTGGTGTTCTCTGCATTCTTGGACTTCAGCTTCCATCAGCATGGCCAATGGTAAGAACAGTAGGATTTTTAGTCCAATACATCTGGAGAGCATTAGGTTGTGAAAGGCTGAATTAAATAGATATCGGCTCATTTTCAAGGAGAAAATAAAGCTGCAAATTACTGCTTTGTGTTTTAAGTCCCCATGGCTTTACTGGTGCTGCTTTCCTGATAGCAATCAATGAAGTCTTTAAGATCAAGGTATCACCACATAAGAGGAAAATAGTTTAAAGTGATGAAAGTATTCTTTTAAAAAATCTTTTTAAAAAATCTGTGCAATAAGGGATATTAACTGCAAGTTTTCCCCTAACATTCAGTAATAGTTGAAGCAATTTTAAAGATTAGTTTTCATGCAATAGCCTATTAATGCTGGTCTTCCATAGAAATTGTAGTTTTACACAGGAATTTCTTCACATTTATGAAAAGTTAGTGGTTTTTTGTTTTTTTTGAAAGGGAAAGCCAAACACCATCTACAGTCCAAAAATGTAGTGTGCAAAGCAGTGCTGCTGAAGGGCTTTCATGTCACATAAAAATCACACAAATGTAAATGAAGGTTGCACAAGCACACTTGATGAATTTAAAGTCCATACTTGATTAATTGAATTGAGAAATTCAGCTCCACAAGTAGGAGTGTTTAAAATATTTTCTGGAAATTACCACATCTTTTTTTCTGTAAATCTCAATGTTCTGGTTTTTATTCAATGGTGTAATTCACCGAGTGTAAATAACACTGTGCAGTCACCTGCACATTATAGGTTTACCTTTACCCTTTAGAAAAAATTGCTTAGCATCTGTGCAGGAAGAAAAGGCAGAGCAACTCAGCTAGTGGAACAATTTATTCTGCTAATGAGACATTGGATTTATGCCTCTGTAAGTCTTGGATTCTTAGTTCCATGCATCATACAACTGTATTACTGATCTTGAATTCTGTTGGCAAATCTCATTTCACAAACGGTATACCATGGTGGGCAACTTGTCCCCACAATGTTCTTGGGCTTGGCCACTCCCATCAACCCTCCCCATTGGCTATGCTATCTAGCTCTGATGAGAGAGTTAGTCCAACATCTGGAAGGCCACAATTTGCTCATCCTTGGTATCTGCGTAGCAGAAATGGATATTTTCTCTGTCAGGTTTAGGCCATTTTATTTTTGCAGGCCTTATAAATAACATATTTTATGATATGACCTTATTTTTTATTACTTATTAATTGCATGGTTAAACCTTAATCAGTTTGTATCCCTCTATATTAGATTTTAACAGTTGTGTTCCTTTTGTGAAAAGTGCAAATAATGTATGGCATGAGATGGAAACAGAAGTACAGATATTAAGTAAACACATTCCAAATTACTACCCCATTCAAAGATTGCTTGAAAGTGGGCAGGACTCAACTTGTACTCATGGAGCTGCTGCACTGGACAGATTTCCCCATGTATGCCAGTAAAAATGTCAGTTTTGTATACACAGAAAAATACATAATATCACCCACTTTGCTGTAGCAAATGGCAAAGGGAACAGTTCCAAGGTATGGCATGCATCTGAGAACAGGCAGCCTCAATATAATATTTATATGAGTGCTATGGTACTTGCTGGTTCTGTCACCTGAAGTACATATCTAATGGACAAGGTTTATTTTGTTTTTAACCGTACACTTAGCACCACTCACATATAACTCTAGGATACTTCTCTCTTGCTCTCAATTTTCTTTGATTTTACTATGAATGATTTAGGCTTACAAATTTATAGTATACAAGGATGAAAACATTCCATATTTTGTACAAGCTAAATAATTTTGATTTACAAAGCACCTAGTTTTATTACAAGAACAATGTACAACCAATGTTTATTTACAATGCAAAAATGTATATAAACCACAATTTAAACATCCTGCTACTGGCAGCTGCTATATTCAGGAGGTAGCTTTAATTAACAAAATGCACTGAAGCCACATTTCCCATCATGTGTTCTATCAAATAATTTACAATACAAAGAAAAATATCTGTTTATGCACACTATGTACAGTTTAATTTTCCTAACTGCAATCTAGCTTAAAACATTTAGTAAAAATTGTGCCAGAATTTCTGGTATGGCAGTGGAATTGCTATGAACAATTTGTTCAACAACTATGAGAATCAGCTTGAGAGTGCATTCTTAATTGTATGCTGCTCAAACTTCAAACCAAGGACAGCCTTTGTAATTAAGAAACAAGACCCTCAAATCTAAAGTAATGATTCCTCTTATCCCCTTTCCTTTAATTGTAAGGAAAGCCAGCCCACTTCCAAGTTACTGTAAAATGGCAGCAAAGCAGAAGTTCCTATATTGTAGAGTACCTTTCATGTTTTATTTCTAGGTCTTCAAATATCCCAATCTCTTTCACTCCATTAAAGTTGCTAACTTAAGCCTATTCAATCCATTACACAATAGTATGAATTCATTCCAAGTGGTATTTTCTTTTCCTAAACAAGTTCACTTTTTTCTCTTGACAGCTGTTAATCTATTATGCCATACCTCTTTTTTGCTGCCACAAGACACACAAAAACTCAGAGGCAATCCAATATGCACGTGTGGTAGCCTTCTGGTAACATGTTAGGATTTTCTCTTTCCCCTGTATCTCCCTGAAAATTTGCTCTGGAGAGGCCCGAACCCATTGCCCAGAGAAGCCGTGGGGTCCACAAAAACATTAGGTTCCACACATGGAATTTATCTTGCAGAAAGAGCATCCTATTCTCTTTTAAGAATTGTCTTACATGCATTAAGAAACCCCCAGTACATGTGTAGAAAATTCTTCAACTTGAATATGAAAGCAAGTCATTTTCTTCAACCGAAAACTTCCAGGTTGAAATGAACGTTATGACACTTGAAAATTCTCCAGCTTGAAGAATGAGAACAAGTGCCATTTGCATGGTGCTCCATACACACTTTGGAGACCACAGAATCATAGTAATGACACAGATATCCAACATGGCTCCAGAGATGAAGAATAAAGACTGGAGCCACAGGACAACAGAACACAAGTTTGGCAAGTTTGACGTTTGTCCAGCATGTGAGAGCCCAATGTTTCCACTTGCTATCAAGCAGTACTATGAAGAAAAACACAATTATGCCAAACCATCCAGAATCCATTATAAGGCACGATAAGTAGTTTATACTGAAAATCAGTTTTTTATTCCAGACAAATTAAGCCAAAGCTGGATTATGGAAAAATAGTACATTTTGCCTGTATTTGTCTCACAGTTGCATATGGGAACAGTATTCCCGTGTTTTGGCCCTGCAGTAAATTGTCCTGAGATTCAGTTAGAAATGCTATACAAAAGTTAGCAACAGGATTTTTGCCCCCTTAGATTTAGCTTTCTGTTGTACTGTGCTTAACTGGAAAAGCTGACAGAATTCACATCACAACAGAAGCAGTAAGTTACAATTGGATAATAACATGGAAAAATAGCCTAAGAACATAAACATAATATAAAGTTGTCTGGAAAAAAGTAAAAAATGGATTATAAATTTTGGGTTTCCAATTATTTACATTAAGAGCAACAGCTCTTTTTCAAACACATAGCTCAAGATCTCTATAGCCCTTGTTTATAACTAACATCAAATGTTGATTATAAAAGTGCTTCCAGGTGAAAGATTGAAACAGGCATAGTCCATATAAAGGAAGCATCATAGTTCCTCCTTTTAACTCATGGTTTGCTGTAAAGCTGGTCAGTCTTTAATCCTCGGGATGTTGTAGGCATAACGGACCAACGGGAAGCCCCTGCTCTGATAAAAACAAGCTCGTCCACAGGCCTGTACTTGATCTGAACTGTCCGACACAAAAGAATCCTCTTCGTCAGCATAATCGGAATGGGCAGACTGGGTACCACAATCTGACCAGTAGCTCTCTGGCCTTTGGCAAGGTACTACCGTCAGGGTAGGACAACTATGGGACTTTATTAAGTGTTTGCATGGTATGGGCTTAGATATAAGTAGTGATTCACAGCATTCACACATTGTAAGGTTGCCCTGCAGGTGTGTGTACATGCCACAGTCATAGTAGAAATCTTGTGTCCCATGGCCACCCTGTGTATTTACAGCAACTGTTCCAGTCCCATTCCTCTTTGTGATGTGCCATCTCAGTAATTTCCAGTCTTCTTTGAACTTGGGGTTGAAGAACACATACAAGACTGGATTCAAACAAGCAGGCAGTGGGAAGAATATCAGAGTGACAGATTTCATTATTTCAGGGCTAATAGAGATTGCAGTGATGAGTGGAGCAAAGGAGAAAAAGGCAACAGGGCAAAAAAAGATGCAGTTGGTGAAGATTAGCCAAGCAACATGTTTAATCATGCTGGCTTGTGAGTTTTCAGAGAGGTCTTCCTTTTCTAGGTTGCAATAAAGTTTGGTATAAATAATAGCCATAAGCAAAAAAGCTAATGAATTTAGGAGCACTAATGTAACTGTAAAGCCCAAGGAGGGGGTTTCTCCTGTTGGAAAGGGCAGGCAAAGAGGTGATGCAGAATACTCTCCCTTATGGAAAAGTGGCAAACATCCTGATATCAATGCACACAGAAAAGCAAAAATGGCTGCAATTCGAAACTGTTTTTGGTTATTGCATTTACCCTTTCTAATTATTTCCTTCACAGATAAGCTCCTCTCAATAGCAGCTAACATTAGGAAAAAAACTGCACTTTCCGAAGAGAAGATTGCCAGAAACCCTGCAACTTTACAGCCACTGCCTGTCTCCCACCAGATGCCATATTCAGCAAACCTTCCCCAAGACACTGCATCCAGGAAGGTTAATATACCAGTGTAGACCCCCATAAATAGGTTAGACATTGAAATCAATCCTATGAGCAGTTTGGAGGAAGGCAGTGAAGTACAAGAAGCAAATATAGTTAACATGACAAGCATGTTGAAGAACAAGGCGACTAAAAAAATAAACCAGACAGTAAGACGGATCATCCAGCTTCCAAGTAAGTATTCACAGGGCTTGAATGCACCTGTAAGAGGTGAAGAAAAACAGATAATGTGGTAAGAAAACTCATGATTAACAATCATAACATATTTCATTGCTACTGAAAAATACATAGTTGCTGGAAAGAGCATTCTAAACCTTACCTAAGTTAGGATTGGGGTGGGCAACACATTGCATGTGGACTACAAGTGACACCCCCCCCCCCCACGCAGTTTGTTTTCAGCTACAGCTCCACCACCCCACAAAATGCCCTTGCCAAATTTTGTGCCAATGTTACCAAAATGTCACATTTCTGTTTTTAAAACTAAGTACATGGCATGGTGAGTGCCTAAATTGCTTTAATGTTTAATGGCAAATTAGTAGCTTCCAAGTCTTCTGGAAGTGTGATTTTCCTTTAAAACATTGTATGCTTTGCTTTAAAGAGCTTTTGCTTTTTTTTTTTTTTTTTTTGCTGCTGCCAAAATCTGTAAGAAATTCAGCACAGCAGTAGTAGCAATGTTACAGTGGTAAAATTCATCCACCACCACCAGTGTGGCCCAGGAACACAACTTAGCCCTGGAGCCCTACAAGTTTATTATTTATTTCATTTTTATACCTCCCAGTAGCCCAAGGTTTTCTGGACATTTTACAAAAGTTGCCCACCCTGAGTTAGATTAATGTGAAGACATGCATGTAAAGCAGTTTACCAGGTTATGCCTTTAATTAGATTTACGTAGTTATGGTACATGGTTGTACAACATTAAAGTTCTTGTTATAATTATTGTAACTATGTAATATTTAATATTGTTGCTTTACTGCATATTATCTGGAACACTTTGGAATAAACTGTCATTTATATTATTATTATTATTATTATTATTATTATTATTATTATTACTATTAGCATAAACAAAAGCAAAATTCATCAAGCCTCAATAAAGCTTCAGCTAATCATCTTATATGGCTTATAAGCATAATCAAGCCTGAAGGGTTTCTTCTGGACAAGTCCTGTTCTGGTTTCCATTTTTAAAATACGCATTTATTTATATTTCTAAATTGTCCTTCAGCGAATACAGTCAGGACAGTCTATGAGAGACCACGACGACAACATCATCAGCATCATCAGTGTAATTTCTATACTACCCCTAGCCAAAGCTCTCTTGGCTACAACAAAAATAATAAAATAGTAAAAATTACAACAAAAATAATAAACGTTTACAAGAAAAATAATAAAAATTTAAACAAAATATTGATACAACAAAGCAATATCTTTAATAAAAGTTAGACAATAGATAGCAAAAGGACTTTTAAAAATAATTACAAGCCCATAATTAAAACTCTTTTTAAGGTGGATTCCCCCGTACCTTCACTTTTGCGAACTTGGCTAGGCTGCTACATGGGAGACCACAGGAAGCTATCCCTACTCTGTCCTGTTCCACAGATCCTGCAGAGATAAACTGTCTTCATGGCACCAGCAACCCTTCACCCAACAGCAAGCACATCGAGGAGACAGGCCAATCTTATTTGTCTGCATGCAAGCTCCACCTCAGACATCTAACCACTCTGCAGTTAGAAAATGTGAAACCAGATGCACAAATTGTTTATGCCTGTGCAGCAGACTAGCTATCATCATTTGGTCAGGGAGGGGGGCATTCTTTATATTTTATTTAAGAAATGTATACCCTGCCTTTCAAGTTATAAACAGTTCCGAACAGCAGATTACATCAACAAATGTTATTTTGTTGATTTTACAGCACAAGGTATAGCACCAGATGAGTTCTATTACTAAGAAAGCAGACATCTGAAAATAAGGACAGTGCAATTTTTGAAAGGGGAAGGAATGGCAGGTTGGTTAAAAGTAAAATAAAATGAGTCCTTCCCCAAAAGTCAGAAAGATGATGGATAAAAACAGGGAGAAGACGATGACAATGATTTGCTTACACCACTACTTCATGTACTGGTTGTTAGTTCTCTTCCACTGAGCAAAGTAGATGCAGTGAACACAGTGTCATAAATGAGTGCACAGAGAAAGGAGGAGGGGAATATTCCATAGGGATTCAATAGGAGAAACTGATCAAAACATGGGAGATGACAAACCTGAAAAACAAGTAATCATGGCTTCGTTCCTAAGTTTAAAAAGTGAAGCTTTTTAAGATGACTTTATTGCAATGAGAAATTTCAGTTCCCAGATGTCAAATAATAAGCCAGTCTGTCTGCTGGTGTAACAAGGCAGTGTTTGGTGAAATTATACAGGGACATGAACAGTTTTTCTTCTTTGGTATCTTAGTTTGGAAATCAGAAGACATCTTGTTAAGGAAAGTTAAGAAAAGTTCCTCTCTTTCACTCAGCAGAGGCAGTAGAGAAGGTGAAATGATACTGGCCCAGATAAGTCTACAAAACTTTTACATGCTAAGAAAGCTGTGAGGGCAGTAGCCCTCTGTTAGAATTTACAGAAAGAACTGGGTATCTAAACATGAGGATAGTGTTGTAAAAGATTAATTGGAAGGTTTGAGACAAGAAACATGAGAGAGCTGCTAACATGATTGAAAATACAATCTCTGGATAGGATCTGGATAGGATGCAGCTGGATAGGACACAGAATTTTGCATTAAATGCCTGGCAGGCATAAATAAAGAGCAACCAAAAAAAGGATGACAAGGGCTATCAAATGTTTAACATGAGAAAGGTAGGAAAAAAGTAGGGCTTACAGTTAAATAACACTTATCTAACTTAAAATTAATTCAAAACTTCTGGGTCAGGTGAATTACTTACAGATGCTATTTCAGAACTGCTGTCTGCAATCTCTTGAGAATTCTCATAGAATGAGTAAAGTGCTGGAAGACTACAGATAGCAAGTGCCCCTATTTTCAAGGGAGTGGGGTAGATCCAGGAAACTGCAGAACAGCCAGCCTGATACTAGGCCAAATTTTAGAACAGATTCTTAAGTGGTCACATTGTGAGCATCTGGAAAAGAATGTGGTGACAAATAGGAGGGTTCATCTAGAGTAACTCATGGCAGGCTAATCTTTGCTGGAAAGCAAAACAGCAAGTTCCTTGAATGAGAGTAGCAAATGTATCTTTTAATTAGCAGTGTGATTCTCTTGTTTTTCAGCATTGTTCTAACAGTTCTCCATAGCCTCCACTTTTTTCACATCTTCAAGCCTCTCATTCTACAGGAAGGGCACATACATATCCCACCCACTTTTTGCGACATTTACTTTTGATGGTACAGTGTTATTAGGAGAACCTTCCTCGCAGCCATGAACACTAATGGGATTGTGACTGGGGAAAGAAGATAGGCTATACTGCAGAAGACCCTGGGATATTAGCTGAAATAATGAGAAGCAAAGCAACTCATGGTAAGTCAGTCAACTGTCAGGCAACCCATTGGTTGTTCCATGAACAACCCTTGCTGCACTTCTGAGTAGCAACAAGGGTTGTCATACTGTGCAAACTGTCTCAGCATCTTCTGGTTTCAGTATATCATTTGACAATCCCTCATGATATCCTTGCTGGCAAGATGGGAAGATGAGGGTTGCTCAATACTATAACCAGGTGGATCTGCACAGGCTGAGCAGCCATACACAGACAGTGGTTATGAATAATGGCTCTGCATCAACCTGGAAGGAGAAATTTAGTGGGTGCTGCAAGGTCTTGTCCCTGTGCCCTGTGATGTTCAACTTTTTGTAACTTGACTTCAATGAAGGAGTAAAGGGAATGTTTATTACATTTGTAAATGACTTGGAAAGGGTAATCAATACCACAGTAACTAGAAGCAAGGGTCAATATAATCTTGACAGATGATTAGGCAGAAATTAAAATGATGAAATAGTTCTGGATTTAGCTACACAGACCCAAAGGCATAAGAAGAGTTTGAAGAAGCCATGGCCTTGGTTATGAGAAGATCCAAATGTCTCAGCAGATCCTGAGTTGAAAATGAACCAGCAGGCTAATTCTACTACTAAAGAAACCATAATTCAATCTTAGGCAATGTATACAAGTACAGTGTCCAGATTGTTTGAACTGGTAATTCTACTCGGTTCAGTGCTGGTCAGGGCACATATGGAACACTGTGTCCAGTTCTGGGCACCACATTTCAAGAAGGAGACTAACAAACTGACATGAGAGCAGAAGAAGGGTGACCAGGATGGTAAGGTGAAACCAAGTCCAATGAGAAACAGTTGAAAGAGCTGGATAGTCCGAGCTTTATTTTTCTCATCTATTTCTTTAGGCTTCCCCTTTTGGATCTTTTCTCTGGGGAAGCATCTACATCATGGGTCCTCAAACTAAGGCCCGGAGGCCGGATCCGGCCCGCCATGCCCATTTGGACCCGCCACGCCCGCCACTGCCATCCACCTCGCCCCGTGTGCGGGGAGCCAGCAGATTGTTCAAACAATCTCCAAGCGAGCAAGCCGCTGCCTCGTGTGCCTGCCTTGCGGCATGTGCCCTCCCACGCATGCACCCATATGCACCGCCCCTGCCCCCTCGCCGGCCCGCACACACCGCCGGCACCACCTTTCCGGCCTGCGCCCAGCCCCGGCACCTTTCAGCTGGCCCCCTGGTGGAAACATATGAGGACCCCTGATCTACATGTTTGTCTGCCTTAGCAGAGATAGGCACATCCGAAGTGGTCAGCTGAGGGGCGTTGTCTGTATATAAGGCGTGGCTCATCAGGGACAAACAGCCAAAACTGCCCATGTGTCCCCTCCCTTTGCCACAGGACAGGTCCTCTGTACAAGATGCAGCAGGAGCATCTCAGAGGCAAAGTGTTGTTTCAATGCCTGGAAAGCTGAGTTTGCCGCTTCAGACCAAATAAAATGCTTCTTTTTCCCCTTAAGCAGATCAGTCAAAGCGGTAGTGGGATGGGAGTAGCCCGAGATGAATTTATGGTAGAAATTAGCAAACCCTAGGAAGCTTTGCAATTCATGATGTGCAGGGAGGCTCCCAAGACAAAACTGCTTGTACTTTAGCTGGATCCATCTTCAACCCAGCAGAAGATCTGATATCCCAGGCAGTTCAACTGGAGAGGTGAAATTCACATTTCTCAAGTTTAGCTGAAGGTGGTTCTCTCTCATCCATTTGAGGACAGACCGAACAGACACTCAGGAAGTCATCAAGGAAGTCCCAGAAAATCTCATTCATAAATTGGGTGGATGCAGCAGGGGCTCCTGTGAGCCCAAATGGCATTACTAGGAACTCAGAAGGTCCTTATCTACTGTAAAAGGCTGTCTTAAATTCATGGCCTGCTTTGATCCGAATGAGATTGTAAGCATCCCACAAATCCAGTTTTGTAAAAATGCGTGCCTGGCCAAGGCATTCCAGCATTTCGGAAATCAAAGGCAAAGGATGTTGATTCGGAATGGTAATTGCATTCAGCTTTCTCCAATCTATGACTACCCTCTTTTCATTGTTTTTCTTCCGAATGATTGGGGGAAGTCGTGGGAGAAGAGGAGGTATGGATGAAGCCCTTTTTCTAATTGGCTTTGATAAACTCATATAATACTGCTAGTTCAGTTGAGGACATAGGATATCATTTCCCTACTGAGAGGAGGGCACCAGGGATTAAATTAATTTCTAGATCACAAGAGCGATGGGGTGGCAGTCACTGGGCTTCCTTGGGATTAAAGATGTCCCAGAAATCCCGGTACTGTGGTGGTAGGGCTTTGGGAGGGGAGGGGAGTTTCCTTAGGGGAAGTGTTTAAGGGTGGTGTAGGCGGAGGACGGGGCTGGGAATTGAGGTACAGCATTTGGTGCAAACTCAGAGGGGAAAGACACATGGCCATCCCTCCAGGAGATTTGGGGATTGTGCTTGGCCAGCCAATCCATGCCCAGTTCTAGTGGGTACTGTGAATTCCTTACTAGAGGGAATGTAATCTGTTCTTTATGCTGACCAATGCATAGAGTTATAGGTCCAGTTTGGAGAGATAGGTCCGCCCTGCAGGGGCCGACATTGAATGGAATCTACTTGAAGAGGATTGGGCAGGGGTAAGGTTGGAAAGGAGCGCTGGCTAGCAAAATCTATGTTCATAAAGGTTGCAGTGGCTCTGCTGTCTACCAAAGCTAAAGTTTGCAGATCTAAACACTAGGCATTTGTAAATTTCCATCCAGTAATAGGTGGTTAGATAATGCAGAGTTTTGTTGAGAGGAGCACTTGGTGTGTGTTCTGGGGGCGGGGGGGGGGGGGGGGGGGGTCCCAGCACTGCGGTTCTTAACGAGGCTGGGACCTGAAGTTTTCTGCTGACTTGTTCCAAGGGCAGCCCTGAGCCAGATATCTTTTCTGGCCGCAGGTGAAACACATCCAGCAGTTCTGCGGCAATCCATTTCAGGTTTAGGCATGCATGGTTTGGTTGCTCCCAATTGCATGGGTTTAGGCTCAGGGAGATGGCATCTTCTCCAAGTTGTGGAGGAGAAGATGGGTTGGAGTGCCATGGGAGGGAACCTGGACAAAATGGGTGCGGTCACAGGTAGGAAAAGGGGGAGGGCAGCCAATTTACATTCCAGTTTACGTTCTTCTAGTCAGTTGTCGATTTGCAGGCATACTTGTATGAGATCTTCCAGGGTCTGGGGACAATTCATTTGAGCCATTATGTCTAGGATTTCACCATGCAGCCCCTCTCAGTATTGGGCCATGAGTGCAGCTTCATTGCAGTTCAGGTCATGCATCAGCAACTGGAACTGTGTTGTGTAATCCGCTACAGATTGGTTTTCTTGTTGGAGATGGTGTATTTCCTGGGTTGCTATTTCTTGTCTCAGCTCAGCTCCAAAAAATCTGCCCATCGCTGTAATAAATGCTCAGTAATCATTCAGAAGGGGATTGTTTGCAAGCAGGCACAAGGCTGACCATCTTCCAGCAGGCCCTGTCAGTAGGTTGATTACAAATTCCACTTGTACTTGCTCATTGGGGAAGTCCTCGGGCCATGAGTGCATGTATAGTTCACAATGAAAGTGGCAAACTGGTCTCAAGTCCCACTGAACTTAGCAGGAGGTTCAATCTGGCATTCCCTTTGTTGGGGGGCAGGTTGAAGTAGAAGTGGTGCAGGGACAGCTGCAGCTACCCGGAGGATGGCGTTCTCCGCAGCGAGGCAAGCCACCTTGGCACATAGTCCCTGAATCTCTGTGGCCATGGTTTGGGTGTCCTGGTCCATAATTTCATCACGGGAGGGAAGGCATCCAGTAATTATTGAATGAGAAGGCACATGGAGAGAGAGTTCAAGCTGTCGTGAACTAGGCGTTCCCCCCCCCCACAAGCAAGTCAGTCTCTCCAGCACTTCTTGTAAGCATCTTTATTCTGCATAGAAGATTCTAAGCATTCATAAGTCTCTGAGCAGAGAGATACTGAGCCCTCTCTGCCCCCCTTTATCCAAAGCTTTGCTTATGCACCCCTCGGGGCCTGTCTCTGGAAGGAGGGGCGCTGTGGAACTGGGTGCACCTGCACCTGCCGGCCTGGGTGCACCTGCCTTCAGCACTCTGAGCCTCTAAGCACCTGTGATAACGGGCCCTTGGGCCCACATCTTCAAGAGGCCGGCATTCTTCATCCGAGAGATTACCCATTTCCAAATCTCCTCCCTCCCATCCTTCGTCTGCTTCATTCCCACAGGCGGGAGGGAGACCAGGCCCCATGGGTGTCCTTGAGCTACTTTCATCCAGAGCAGGCTTGGACTGGCACTGCGATACTGAGTCTACAGGCGCAGGCCTGTCTGTTACAACAACAGTTCCATTATCAGAGTCTGAGCTCTGAGCCTCAACTAGTTCAACCAACTCCGCATCAGCCTCAGAGTCTGAGCTATCAGTCCCACCAAAAACACACCTGGGAATCTCGCCAGAACATGCACGCATGACCAGCACCTCCAAAGACAGTCAACAAAGGCAATTATGAGCACTCTGGCCTGAAAGGCAGCCTAAAAACACTTAAAATTAATAAAATACAGGAAAGTGATCTGATACATATTCATAATATATTCATCTTACAAATTGGTTCACAAAATACCTGTTCAAAATAATCTCCTGTAATACCATATAGAGATTTTACACAACACTCACTTCAAATATCATTACACTACAATTTGGAAACTGCACTTTTACCAGACTGATGAATTCTATTCACAATTCAAACACACACCTGTAGTATAAACCAAAGTTTGTCACTCAAGAGCATAACTCTAAAGCGGGGGAGGGAGCTGTATATTTTACCTGTTGTGGGAGTACAGTGAATGATTGTCTGACCAAGTTCTTCATTTTCATCACTGCTTAAGTCATCTACGTCTGGTGCACCTAGATTAAGAAAGATGGCAGAAAATTATACTTTAGAAATACTAAAATATGAAGCTTCTCTCTCTCTCTCTCTCTCTCTCTCTCTCTCTCTCTCTCTCTCTCTCTCTCTCTCTGTGTGTGTGTGTGTGTGTGTGTGTGTG